CGCCCGCCCGCCCGCACGGAGGCGCCAGGCCCCGCTCGCTGCTCTCATGGTGCCACTCGTGGCCCCAGGGCTCTCCAAGGGCTTCTGCAGGGCCACCTTGCTGCGGCCTTTCAGCCCCTGCCCGAGGCCCAGCAGAGCCCTGCACGGGGGCTGTGTCCAAGGGCCTGCAGGGACAGCAGCAGGGCCAGTGGCTTCCCCGTGACACGGGGCAGCCTTAGGCTGGACATGTGCAAGAAATTCTGGCCTCTTAGGCTGGCGAGGGCCCGGCCCACGCTGCCCACAGCAGCTGGCCGTGTTCCAGGCCAGCTTGGCTGGGGCTTGGAGCACCCTGGCCTAGCAGAAGGTGTCCCTGCCCATGGCAGCGGGGCTGGAAGGAGGCAATTTCTAAGGAGCCTGCCCAGCCAAGCCATTCTGTGATTCTGTGATCAGAGGGGCTGGGGACGGCTGGGCCTCATTTCTCATTGGAACCACTTCAGCACTCTGAGTCTGCTTGAGTTCAAGGAGACAGTTGATGAGCCCACACTGACGGCGTGTGACGTTTACCTGTGCCATAGGTCTGGCTGAGATCAATAAAGTCTCGCACAATGCAGATTCTGCAATGTTGCATTTTATTGAAACAAGAGCAAAGCAGTTTCCAGCTTGCCCATCCTGAACATGCTAACTACAGAGCATTAATATGGCTCACAACTGAGAGCCACACTAGATATGGATTTGCTTGTATATCAAAATATTATCCTACGTGTTCTATCTGTTCTATATGCTATTAATATACCTATTTGATGAAACTGACTCCAGACAAAAATGCACTAATAGCATGAATATGCATCAGAATCGATAGTGACACTACATGTGTCCTCTATTGTTATTATTTAAACATAATTACATATTCAACTCTTTAGAATAATATTGCTTCATGACATGAGAATTACCTATTTCATATTTTTGATACTATTTATATTAGTCTGTTGTTCTTTTGTGTTGTGTTTTACTATTATATATGATACTATATAAACATCAAAGTATAAAATATATGTAAACTATATATATATATAAAAATAAATCTAGCTATGAAATAAAAATCTAGATTCTTCTATAGAAAAAATTTCAGGTCAGCTCCAACACAGCTGGTCCAGAGCTGACCCAAAGGTGTCCCTTCCAGAGTCAAGGCGCGACGCCATCCATGGACTCATCCCGGGCAAGCAGCGCTGACTTCTCCTCTTGGTCCTTCTTGCCCCTTGTTTCTTTTTTCTTTTCCTCACCCACATTCCCACATCTTTCACACTCCAATTTTTGGCCCTTCTCAAAGGCTGGCAACAAGTGCATGTTGCAAGTGGGATTTGGTGACTTTGGTGCTGCACGTGAGGCATGTTCTCTCTTCAGGGGCGCTCTTAGGAGTGGAGAAATTCAGGCGGGGCTTAATGCAGATCTGGGTGTCTTTTTTATGGGAAATGAAAAGTTTCAAGGAGGTGGAATAAACTCTCCCTTGGCCCTCCACCTGCTGAGGCAGCAGTAGAGGCTGTGGGACTTTGGCCAGAGCCTTTGCATGCATCCTCTTATCATTAAAGGACCAAACTTTTACTATGACGTGCCTCTCTGCTGCTGGCTGTGAGCAGCACAACTTTGTGCTGGAGAATCTCTTTCAATCGTCAGGGTTAAGGATTGTTAGGAGCTGACGTTGCAGATCCAGGTACTCGCCTATGGCCTGGAAATGGGCAGCTGGATCCATTGCCAGGTGATGGAAGAAGTTGGGAGGCTCAGCCATTTGAACATCTGGGGGCAAACTGATCTCTTCAGGAAGCCTCCGATTGCCCACAATAAAGTGGTTGAGGCATTTATCTTCCAGGGAGAAGCGCAGACTCTCACTGATATTTATCAGTCGCCTCAGGAAATGTCTCCTGCACCACTGTGACACAGGAATGGTGTTCAGGAGGTGCATGATGATGGTCTTCATAGTGTAGGTGGAAAAGCCTATGCCTAGCTGGAGATGGGTGAAGAGCTGCAGGCATCTGAGGTGCAAACTGTCGGGGGGGGCCTGCCTGGCAATGTGCTTGAAGAACTTCATCTCTGCCACAGCATAAGTCTCAGGCCAGGTTGTGTTTGGGGTGTGGGCCTCTCTAGGCTGGCTGCTGACAAAGATGTCTGAGTCGCCTCTCCTTACCCCAAACAACATCTCAATCCTGAAGGTCTCTTCTCCGTTGGTCACCTTGAATTGGCAGGAGCGTCTGGAGGGCAGCAGCGTTAAATGCCAACCGTGTGACTGAGGCAAAGCTGGCCAGACTGCTCTCACCAGTTGGTAGAACCAGCGGGCCGTTTTCTGCACGTCGAGGTAGGAGCCGGTGCACAGGGTGTCCAGGAGGCTGGGATCCTGATTCCTCCTCAGCTCCTCCTTGGGGTGGTGCAGGAAGCACAGCATGTTGTCGCCCTGCTGCTCCCTCCTGCAGGTGCACTCCAGCTGCACGCGCACATGGAAGTTCCTCAGCTGCGTGCGCCCTGCAGTGTCCAGCTCCAGGTGGAAGCTGTGGCCTCGGGGAGGGGTCATGGGTACGAGCACGCGGTACACAACGTCCTGCTCGCGGGGACTCCAACCTTCAAAGGCGCTGCCCACCCCGATGGCTCGCTGCAGGACTGGGTAGAAACTGTTTGACAAGACATGACCGAAGTAAATGGTATAATTGTCCATCAGGTCAGTTGTCCACTCACAGCCTGCCAGCAGGTCCTGGACAGGCCACTGGATGCGCTCCACCAGCCTCCTTCCTATGTTCTCTTGAATGCGATCATCCTCTTCATTTCCAACATCTTCCTCCTCATTTGCCCTCCCATTTTCTTCTTCATTCTCCTCCCTCCTTAGGCTCCTTTTATGCCCCATAAACCATATGACCAAGACAAGGACCAGGAGCAGAGCAACACATATGAGCAGCAAGTAGAGCACCGCATCATTCTGCCTCACGGCGAGCTGCTCTTCCTCCCGATCCAGCTGAATTCTCTTCTGCTCCAAGCGCTTTGCACGCAGCTCCATGCGCAGATACGTCTCTTCATCCAAAACATCATTTACAGGACGAAGATACTGGATGAGGCTTTGCAGGAGCATGAAAAGGAATGTTATGGCATCCATGGTCTGCAGGAGGATGGAAAGAAGGCCATGAGTGGTGCTTTGAGAGAGCAAACAGCTAACAGCTAACAGTGGAGGCAGCAGGGAAGGGAATACTCAGGTATCTGAGGGCAGGAATGACAGGGCCCCAGACAGCTGGCAGGTAGCAAGGCCTGTCCTACTGACCCAGCAGCAGCAGCAGCAGCAGCAGCATGGCCTGCCCAAGGCTCTCCCACAAGGGGCTGTCCCCGCATGCAGGGGGAGAAGCCAGCCCCGGGTGCAGCGTTTCCACCCTGGCCCTTGTCCCCAGCCCAGCCTCCCCAGCACGTGTGCACTCACCGCTTGCCCAAGCAATGAAGGCCAGCGTTACCTGCTGGGGCCTTTTGGAGCTGCCCCCATTGTGACATGTCCCCTGTGATGTCACAGGTGTCACAGCACATCACAGCCCAGCCTGCCCCACCCTTTGTCCCCACCCCACGCAGCCTCTTGTGTAGCCTGAAGCAATCAAAATCTGGCTATCTGCAAAGTGCACGCTGAACTGCAGGTTAAGTATTGTAAGGACTACAGATGTGGGTCCTGTGAGAACCTTCTATGAGGGGTATAGGTACAGCTTGAGCAGCTCTTGTGCTGATAGAATTCATAGTGCACCAGAAGATCTGACTGTGGTGAGTCTGAATGTGTGGTACCACTAAAGAGCCTCTGTACCTTCTCTGTTGTTTCATAGGAGTATCCATCCATCCTTGACTCCCTGGGGAGGCAGTGCTGCATTCCTGATTACACAGGACATGGAGAAGACATGGCTTTGACAGCGCTGGAAATTGTTGCAGCACCTTTCTCCAACACAAAAGTTAACTCTGGGAGTCTGATCTGAAGATGAAGAGGCCATGGCAAGGAACCTGGAACTAGAGACTCCTGTTACCATATGGACATTGAATACCCTCCCTTTTTGAGAGAGTCCAATCCCTCTGGAAGTTTTACCCTGTGCAAAGATGCTAATAACTGGCATCTTGAGCAAATGCTGTGTTGAATGTCTGTGCCTCACTTTGGCGGGGAATGCAGGCACAAGTACTCACTGCTTGTGGTTGGTTGACCTTGGCTGGACAGAGAGAGAAAATAAGGAGTAAAGACTTGTGGGCTGAGACAAGAACAGAGAGATTGCTCAGGCTCATCTGGGGGAAACATTTATAATTTGCGACCAATCAAATCAGAGTGGGACAATAAAAAATAAAACCAGACTTTAAAATATCTTTACCACACCTCTCCTTTCTTCCTGGGCTCAACTGGTCACTGTTGCCAATGCTGTGGGCCAGGACTCACACAGCACTCGGGTAGTTCTCCATGTGGGGTTGCCTGACACGGGAGCCCTTACCTCCTGAACACCAGAGGTCTTAGCCTCTGGGCAAGTGACCAGCTCCTGGATTTTCTTCACTCATGAATATCAGCCCATTTCCTTGACAGCTGATAGCTATCCGCAGGAATTTGGCTTTGCAGACCTGAAATAACAAACTAGGAAGTATGAGGATCTCTGTGGAATCCAGCTTTAGCCTAAGTGTTTAATAATCTGGCGTAAGATCACAGCATAACAGCCAAAATGACCCACATTTGAAGACTGAATGTTCTGACCAGTTATGAGGAATAGATATTTATAGGAGAACTGTAAGAAAGTGTAAAAAATACGGATCATTTAATGGTTTTAGCCCTAAGCACAACAGGAAGTACAACCACAATCACATGGTAAGTAATTCCCATGGAAACTGATAATATTTTCCATTAAACTGAAATTTATTTCAGTCTAGAATCTGCCTAAGGACACAGAATGTATAATGCTGCAGCAAGGTGCCATATGTAGAAAAATAAAATTGCTAAACTATGGGTATGACTGGAGTGTGGAGGAGGAAAAGCAAGACTTATTGTAAGAAAACCCTGTCCCAGCACATCATGTTACAGGACGAGAAATGCTCCCTGCCCTCAGTTACCACTGGATCTCACTGCCTGGATTTCCCTACAATGGACTGTGTAAATAATGAAGGTGGAAAAAGTCAGCATGGCTCCTCCTTCCCTGGTCTCCTAACTGCATCATGGATCTCTCCTAGCCCAGGAACAAAAAGGATTAATTAACTGCCTTACCAGACACACTACCTCCATGTCTGCCAAGGCTATCAGCAGCCCACCCGAGCTTCTATCCTCTGTGGCCCAGGATCCACCTCCAGCCCAAACCAGGGCTGTCAGTCCTTGTTCCACTGGCACTGCAGATTGCCCATTCCAGCTTGTCCAGCCCAGCCATGGGTCCCAAAAAGCCAAGCCCACCAGTAGACTCTGCCTGGCCTGGTCCCCACAGCCTGGCCTGGCTGAGCTGCAGGATGACCGCCTGATTTGAACTCATCCTGTCTCATCACCATGAACATGCTCCATGAACACCTAGCAGGGCTGGCTGAACCTGCTGAGACTCCCCAGGTCTGCCCTGCTCCCTGGATGGGGGCAGTGGGACAGACAGACCCAGCTCCCAAGCCCTGAGGGAACTGCCAGCCCCCACTGAACCTGGGAGCGGGGTTTGCAGTGCCATGATAGCCATGTTCTGCCACCAGAAAACCATCCCAACTCACCACAGTGTCAGGCAGCCCAGTGGAGCTTGTTGCTGTATGTACAAACCACAGGTTGGGTGGCAGTAGGACAGTCCTGAGGGAACTGTACCAGCAGAATTCCTGTCTAGTTATGAGTTGTGGAGAAGTTCTTGGTAGCTGGATCTGTTGGTTTTCCCACAACTGAAAGCTACAGTGATGAGGCCTCACTTCCATTTCTTCAGCTCCTTCTTGAGAAACAAATGCCATTGAATAGGTCTGTCAGATCATATGGCCCAAGGTGTCAGGGAACACAAGAGAAGAGATGCTGCCAGCAGTAATTTGTATTGATTAACTTTCCATTAACTTGCCTTGCAGCGTTCAAGGCCAGGTTGGATGAGGCCCTGAGCATGACCCTTCCTGACATAGTGGGTGAATTCCTTGCCCATGGCAAAGGGGTTGGAAGTAGATCATTTTTAAGGTTTTTCCAACCCAAACCATTCTATGGCTTCTTCGATTTCTATGATAACTTGCACCTAGGTGAGATGTATTCATATTTCCCAATGTACAAAGGCAATGGAGGATGGTTCACCAGGTACAGTGTCCCCATTTACCTTCCCAGCTATCTAGACAGGTTATCAGAGTGGTTCTGAAGCAGGTGTGAGATGCCAGCATCAGCCTTTGGATGTGTTGTACCCACAGCAGCTCCCAGCACTTGGGAAGTGCTCAGTTTTCATAACTGGTGTGAATGGTGTCAAGCTAAACCAGTGTCCAGACCCCTGTGGGGAAACTGAGTCAATAATGGTTCTTTGTCTAAGCCTCTGACACTCAGCAGCTATAACTAGCAGTACAGCTCTAGCAGCCTCCAGCGAGAGCATGTTTTTCAGTTTTTAATCTAGACAAAATAAAAAGAGGAGAACAGTCACTGGTAATGTAAAATACTCTTACCTTTATGAGGAATGGCTTCAAGTACAGCATTCCTCTGAGTGAATTCCCCCTTCCTTTCTCCCTCAAAGCAACTTGTCTGTAAACATCCCAGTCCTGAACTGGGCTTTTCCTCCCTTGTTCCCTGTGGAAGTGTCAACTCAAGTATGAATAAGATTCTGTGTGATGGGACACTCCTCTCACATCCAAACAATCTGTAGTGATTATTAAAGATACACAGGCAGGTTATTAAAGATTCTTCATATGAAGAAACAGACTGAAAAAAAGTTGATGTATATTCCCATATATTCCCTGTTCCAGAGCTAGAGAAAACCCAAGGTCACCAAACTTCCTTGCAATCAAAGGTTTCTGGAGATGCAGGCCCAAATAGCCCCTTGGAGAGGGGCTTAGAGGGAAACCCAACCCAGTGTATATATATATATATATATATATATATACAGACTGGAGAAGACAGCATAAGAAAGATGAGATTTCTTGGCATCTTATCCACCCAATCAAACCACTGCAGCTGCCATCCATCCATATCTAAATTATCATGATCTTCCACAAGTTTAATGTTTTTTCCATCCATTTTCTCCCCAGATGAACTGAGGAAATAATCCACTTTTATTATCATCATGTCTATTGAGAATGATGAAGATATGTTGCATTTGTACATGTAAAGGGCTTTGTCTTGTCTCACGGGGCTGGGAGACTGAGAGACACAGAAGGATGGAGCCATGGTTGTCTTTATTTCAGAGCAATCATTTAAATCTGAGGAAGAAGCATACCTTTGACGTGTAACTTCAAAAGAAGTTAAAGGAAACACGACACATCCTGTTTCTACAAACCCTTTTCCAGTAACCCTAAGGAAAATCTTCAAACATGTAAGGGTTTCGGAAGCTGCTTACCTTCATTCACAGTCTTCCTGTTTTCCTCTAAGGTTAAGCAGATTTATATGTGAAAGGACAACCTGCAGTTGACAGAGTGAAGACATGTGCCACTTCTTGTTTACACCAGTTCTGCAAAGCTAATCCCAGAATCTCTGCCTTTTCTTGGTATTTTCAAACTCAATAAAAACACAAAGACTTGAGGAGCAGAGTAGGTGGCACATTTTAAATACTTTTTCAAATGGTGCTTTGCTTCAGTGTGTTCTCATTACTAAAGCAGGGCATTTGCTGAAATAAAAAAAGAAATTGTGCACAAAGCAAATGAATATGCTGGGAAATATAAAGTCAAGAAAATTAATGAGTGTTAACAACATCCATGGTGCAGCCAAGATCAGACCTGTCTGTACCAAAATCAGCATCTTCATTCAAGGACTTCCCTCTCTCACTCTACAAATTCTTCTCAGTGGTACCCAAATTCTTCTTGAAGCTGATGGAAGCAAGCTCTGACTATTCTATAAACTAATTCTCACTGAACAAGAACCATCCTTCTGAAATCAGCAGAGGCTACATTGCTGTAGGTAACAGAGAATCACAGTCACATGCTGGAAAAGACCCTTGAGATCACTGAGTCCAACCATTAACCCAGCACTGCCAAGCCCACCAGTAACCTGTGTCCCTAAGCACCATGCCTGATGGTCTTAGAGGCCTTTTCAACATAAACCATCCTATGATTTTATGACTCCAGAGATCTGATGGCATAGCCACTTTTTTTATCTAACTGTGCACCCAGTCCCGGTGTAAAGCATTCCCTTGGATACACAGCAGAGGAATTGCTGGCAGAAGAACCTGTTTAGGTTTGGCACATATGCAACCCACAGCTTTTTGCCTGTGTGTCCAAGGTTTTGCTCTGAGCTGTTGGGGCTCTGCAGGGCTGCATGACCCTGCCCTGTGCTGCAAGCAGACAAGTGAAGCCCGAAGGAACAGTCCAGCTGCATTTCCCTGAGGCTGCCCCACAACACAGGGCAAGAAGGAGCTCCTGGGATCAGAGGCTTGCCCTGGAGTCCAGTTCTTGGACTCAGAAGGTGACACAAGAGGGCAAACAATGGTTTTCCAAGAAAACTCCCCTGTGGACTCTTTACAGACTATCCTCACCTGTCCCCAGAGCCTTCTGGGAAGGAAATGGCCACCTGCCAGCTCCTCAAATCCTGACCCACTTTTCCTGAGAACTCAACAAGGGAGAGTTTCACAGACAAGAGGAAATCCCTAAACAACATGCAGCCCAGAGAGTGGAAAGTTTTTTTCTTGGGGGAGGTTGGGTTTGTTGTGATTCTTCCCCCCCCTCCTCCAACTTCCCAATGAATGCATCTGGCAGCTCTCTGTCCCTGCCAGTGCAGGATCCTGGCGGAAACCAGAGCTGGGAGGGCTCTTCCTGGCTGGGACAGGCTTCCCAGGAGGGTGAGGGATTTACACTGGCCACCTCTCGCCGTTGTCCCCAGCGGTGTCACACTGAGGGCCATGTGCAGTGGCAAGCTGCAGACGGCTTTGCTGGTGGCCGGCTACTTTGTGTACCTGCTGGTGGGTGCTGCGGTGTTCCAGGCCCTGGAGAGGACTGCAGAGAAGCAGGAGAAAATGGCAGCTGCACAGATGAAGGAGGCTTTTCTGCAGAACTTCACGCAGCTCACGGTGGCAGAGATGGAGCAGTTCATGAAGGTGAGCGGTGCCCTTTGGAAGTCCTTTCTCCCTCATGTTTCCCCATCAGATGTTTCCTACTCATCCTTGCTACACAGGTATCTCTCACTGCTTTCCTTCTGATTGTGGTCACTTGGATGCTTCCAGCAAATCACTCTGTGGTGTGAGCAGGCAGCTCACTCTGATGGTGAGTACAGCTTGTACAAAACCTTGTGTGTGTTAGCTATTAAAAATCCCCATCCCACAATATCCTGGTTTTCTGGGGCCTTGCCTCCTGTGATTATGCTTTTAGTAAGGCTGTGCTCATACACAATGGGTGGCATGGCAAGAAAAATGAGGTTGTCTGAAATGAACAGGTGTGGCTGCCACCTCATCACAGATAACACAAAGGAACAGTAAGGAAAGGTCTGGATTGGGAAAAAAAAATAATAACTCCAAGTAACTACAAGGAGGGTAGCATGATCAGAGTTTAGTTTTTGAGGATGCTGCAGAAGTGAAATAGATAGTCTGGTGAGGGCAAAATATTCCTGTCACAGGAAGATGAAGATGGATGTGGCTGTCTCTTCAGTTTTGGTATTTCCCAGCTCTATCTGCTACAATGTAGGAGAAAATGAGGAGTGCAAGCCTTGCTGGAAGTTCTTCTACATGGAAAACTAACATAGCTCTTAATGAACCAGTTCACAGAATAAGGAAATGTGGGGAAGAACTGGTGTTTGTAATAGCACAACCAACAATTCAGTCTCTGTTTTGCCCATGCATGCATCCTTGTCACCTGTTTTTTTATGGGTAGGGAAGATGGTTAAAAAAAAACCAAAACTTTTCAGGAAGAAAAAAAATATATAAACTTTTAAGCCAAATAAATCTTTTTTCAAGGGCTATAGAAATTATTTTTGTTAGCTTCAATTTTCTGAGACACCAGCAAAAAAACATAGTGAGGGAAGGAGCAGGGAGGAAGATTTTGCTGCTGCAGTTTGTTCCAGCATGTGTCCTGCTTCTGGCAGGGCTCTGTCCTGGATTTTATCTCAGCTGTTTCTGTACAAACCAACCTGCCTTCCAGATGTCCTGTCCAATGTTCTCTGTTTGCTAAAGACAGGGACAACTGAATGCTGTTTGTTTTTTAAATTTCTTTTTAACTTAAAAAACCTCAAAAATACCCCCAGCACTTGGAATTAAAACCAAGGAAGAGTCTGAAAATGCATAGAGTGATAAATGATAGCACTGGAGAGGTGTGGAAGAAATATTTAGTCAAGCTTTGTGTGGCAGGGCAGTCTCAACCCAAACCATCTCTGTCAGATGTTTCTCTCACCTCCTCTCAAAGGCAACTTTGCAAACATGTGTGTAAATGTGTATCTATGTGTATTCATGCATACAGTTTGGAGAAGAGTGTGTAATGTCAGGCTTTGCAAATCAATGGACTTTGTCTGAATTTAATTCTGTAACACTAATTTAAATACAGACTTGAAATTCTCAGTGTATCTCATGTGTACCTGCCACAACTCACCCCTGGGAGGGCTCAGAGCCACTGCTCATACAGGTGGGTGATCAGATCTTGGACCATTGCTATCTCGAGTGCAGGTCCAAATCCAACAACCAACCACCCCCCATCTCTTAAACCAGGGCTCTGCCACATCCTAGTCACCCACAGGATCATGATTTTCCAAACTACTTGGAAAGAAACAAGGTCCTTGGTCATACTAGAAGAGACAATTTCTCTCCAAACACCCACTGAAGGAGTCAGCACAAACAGGGAAGAAGCTGAAACCCAAAATCACTGGATAATGACTCCCCAACCTTGGTGGTGAATAGTGTCAGACAATCTCTGAGGTGAGGTGTGTGGTACTCACAGGAGAGGAGCAATAGTTGGCTAAACCTGTAATACTTTTGCAGCAAACACTTTAGAAAAGCAGTCATGACGATACCAAACTTTGCTTTCTCTTCCAGAACCTGATTGAAGCCATTCAAAATGGAGTGTACCCTGTTGGAAATGAGTCACAGTTTGAAGAGAGCAACTGGGATTTCAGCAACTCCTTCTTCTTTGCAGGCACAGTTGTCTCCACAATAGGTGGGTCTAATGCTTTCCATGTATGTTTGCTTGTGTGTGAGTGATGTTTATTATGTCTGGTTATTAGGACATGAATGGATAACACTTTCCAGGATAAAATCTCCAGCCCTTTGTTGTCATGGGTGGCAAGCAGGCATGGACTTAGTCCTAAAACCTTGCCACTGCACAGTTCTTCATGCATTATTTTGGCTTGTCATGTATCAGTGGCCTTTCCTATTATTTTCCACTTGTTTCTTCTTTTAAAGTTGTCTGTTATAATGTTCACTCTGCTGATGTTTGTGGCTGGGAGATAAACTTCACTTTCCTGGTGTTTATTCCAGGCTTTAAGTATGAGAGTGCTGTAAAGCATAAGAAATGTAAAGAAAGAAGTGAATCCTGTTGGGGCCTGGGCACTGTCTCCATAACCTGTTTTGAGCTGTTAATTTACATATTCAATTAGTAACATGCCAGGAGGAAAAAAAAAGGGAAGGGATAAAGGCAAATGCTGAGAATTTCACATTGCTGCTTCAAGCTGTTCTGACCTTTACAGAGCCTGCCTTCCCCTACCTGCTCATTTTTTCTTTCAAATGTACATCCCAAAAAGTGCATGCCTTCCAAACTAAAGGATAAAATCCATACTGTTGGCACCTGCTTCACAGCCAGTGCACTGGAAGTCAAATCTGTTTTTACAGAGTGGTGCTGTGGCCTTCCTGTTGCCAGGCACATCTGCCTCACTGACCTGTGAGTGTGAAATGTCCCAAGGGCCCCAGTAGTGTCCTGCATCATGGGAGCTGTGTAAATGCTGCCTGAGCCCACAGGGAGAGCTCCTGCTGTAGAAGGGGAGGGTTCTGACCCACCATTGAAATTGGAATATTTCTGCAACAGTGAGCACAAGAGAGCTCATGCATTTGGGAATCTAGTAGCCCAAAAATCACTCAGTTGTTTTGTCTTTTCCTCCAAAGAAAACATTTTCCAAGTAATGGATGCCTTGAGATGAACTGTGCTTGGAAAATGCACTTTCCCAGGGTCACTGATAGCATAAGGACCCACACAAAGTTCAGTACTCTTGCACTCAGGGATGTACCTCATGGGGTCCAAGAGTCTTGAGACTAAAGGACATGTTTGGGGTCGTTCCACTACTTAGATAAATCCTCTCTTAGTAGGACTTTAAGACAAACATCTCTCTGGAATGAATAAATCGGCCACCAGCAAGGTCTGGACTAATTAGCACCACCTATTGTGATGCACACTGCTCTGCCTTGGGACTGGAGTCACATATCTGCACATAGCAACTTACTGGGATGTAGCCAGGGAGGTCACTAACACACAGACACATCAACAAGAAGCTGGAGATGGCTGCATGTGGTTCTAACAGCCTGGGACTCCAGCCCTGATGTCTTCCAGATCCTCAAACTTCTATTTTCTGACTTCCCATGTATTTGTCACAGGACAGAGCATGTTTCCCATAATCTCTTCTTGACTGTGTTTCTGTTCCCACTAAGGCTGTGTTGGGAACACAGAGTGCTCTCTTCATTCCCCCAAACATGCAGGGTGAACCACTTCATCTGCTAACTGCCTTTTTCAGAGGTAAAAGGAGTGCATTTGGGCTGAGAAGCACTAGCCACATCTTTTAGGGTCAAAGGCAGGCTGGATTGGAGTCAGAGTGAATGTGACTGGGAACTGGCTCCAGTTCTTTGGAATATCTCCTCTGACTCATCTTTTTTTATAGGCTATGGCACATTACATCCTAAAACTGTTGGGGGACAGATCTTCTGTGTGTTTTTTGCTCTTTTTGGAATCCCTCTGAACATTGTTTTTCTGCACCGTGTCGGTAAGATGCTCTCACTGCTCTGTAAAAAGCTGGGGAAATTCCTGTACGAGAAAGGAATGAGAAAGGTAATTGGTTTTACTTACTCAGGCACAATTATATTTTCATTTCTAGTGTTTTTCTCAAGTCTTATGCTGCCTTATCCTTAATTATATTTGCTCTTTTGCTGGGTTAGATGTTGTTCTAGGGCAGGAAAAGAGACATTCTTTACTTGCAGAGCAGCAGGCATGTTGGCCATAGAGGAGATACTCAGACAAAGGGATGCATTTTGTCTTCCCATCTACATGGCAGAAATCCATCTCCATCAATCTGTGGAGAGAGTGGGAATCTCACCCTGCTTCTTGAGGCACTTATCTCAGGAGCCAGCACCCTAGGGAAGTGCATGCATCCCTTTAAAAACCAGTAAGGGTGATTAAGCATCTCATTTTGAGGCAGCAAAAAGCAGGTGAGCTGCTCAGGGCTGTAAAAATTAGGGGAGGTGTAGAGGTTTCGGTGGATTTTGACTCAGTGCATGGTGTGTTACCCCTCCTAACTGATTCCCCAGCCCTTCAGCCCCCCTCCACCCTTAACTTTGATAGAAAGGAAGCATCAGGCTGAAGTTGTCCATTTGAGTCCAGTTGCTGAAAGATGAGGAGACACCTGTAACAAGTCACATACAGGATTTCTTTTGTCTGGTTTATGCCCCAATTTATTTTCAGCTCCTCCTCTTCTCTCAGCACTGCTGAGGGACTGAGAATAGTTTTTCTGTGTCTCCTACTGTAATTCTCTTTCAGGACAAGGTATGATTGCTGCAGATAACCCTGTTCCGATTGCTGAATTTCTTGTCATATATGGCAAACTTAAACAGAAGATAAGGCTCAATCAGATACAGACTCAAGCATGTACACAATACATGAAGGCATGAAAAGTTATCCAGCAGTTACCATTCATTTCCAGACAATCTGGACTTGGAAAATTCTGTACATAGAAATTATGTGTGTCTGGCTGATAAATCTCTACATATAACAAGTCTTTTTCTCTAGTCAGAGCTTCTTCATGACTGCTGGGAAGTAGAATGATTCAAAAGTCACTGTCCAGGCTCTTCTTTATCAAGAGCTCATTAGTTAATTTTATTTTTTTTTTGCAGTAAGATATCCACTGGGTAGGAGCCAAGTTGTGGCACTGAGAAATAAAGTCAATAATCAAGGCTCTTGAAGATAGTACTGTCAGAAATGGTGCAATTATTTTTTTATAAAAAATGACTGTTTTCCCAGGCAAATCTGAATTTAAGTGCCAACCCTAAATACTTAAAGAATAAAAGTGAAGTTGTATGGTGATACATGGAAGTGGTTTGACTCTGGTAAATGTCATTAGATAGGAATTCCTCCAATAGTCACAGTTATTGATACAATCAGGTAAAAAACTTCATCTTCCAGGGTCACTTTGGACATTCAACACCCACAACATTTGGCTTCCCCCTGATTGTAAGCAAGACTAAGTTATTTCCAGAGGAAAAGCACTCAGTAGAATTCCTTCAGACCCTCCTGATCCCAGATAGCCACCATTGAATAGCCAGCATTATTTGTGTTTTAAATCATGATTATAATTGAACTGGTTTATTTTTCAGAAGAAGATCAAATTTCTGACCCTTCTGTTCTTCCTGGCCACGGGGATCCTGGTTTTTCTGTGCTTGCCTTCAGTCTTCTTCCAGATAACAGAGGGCTGGTCCTACAGTGAAGGGATTTACTTTGCATTTATCACCCTCAGCACCATTGGCTTTGGAGATTATGTAGTAGGTAAGGTTGGTTCCACAGAGGAAACATGTCAAAACACCAGGATAATGACTGTAATTCCTGCAGGCTAACTGAATGTACTGTAGAGACAAATCTGTCAAAAGTCTTTGCCTTGCACAGTTCTGGGGGAAATACTTCTCTGGGATTGTATGTGCTGATAGAAGCACAAAGTCATCAAAATAAAAGGAAAATTACGTGCTTTGGGGTGCAAAGAAGACAAGTGTCTTGGTGAGGGAAGGGTAAAGGAAGGGAAAGTTGAATTTTTATTACCAAGAGGGAACAGTTTATGATAGTCATACAAAACAAGGTTTGTATCACTGCTTTAGACATCTCTGACTTATGTTTCACAGTGTGGAGTGATGAAATAAGTGATCATGTTTCAGAATATTTGACTTCACACAACAGATTAAGAGATGGAAACCCCAGTCATGGGAAATTGGGGAAATCTACTCACGCTATTAGAAGTGGGTCTTAAATATATACATCACTGCAAAAGTAGCCTGCTTTAGTCTTCTGAGTGTCTCTGGAGGTTTTCTATCCTCACAAGCCAGAGTTTAGGATTTCCACTGAAGAAACACTGTTTAAGCTGCACTCAAGCATGCTGGAATGCTTCTCAAAACATTTCCATGGATCTTCTGGACAAAATACATTCTCCACGAAATAATTCCAAAGGAACTGCAAAAGAATTACCAGGAGCCAAATCAGTGTCCACAGGAGAAGCTGGAAAACAACTGGACTCCATGGAGAATCCAAGATTTCTCTACAACAACCTGTCCTGCCATCATCTTGCCAGCCTGAACTTCTCCTCAGAGGGATGTGCAAAGAAAGCTGTAGCTAATACTTGCACCAGTGCTGTCCCCACAGAGGATCTGGAAGCCTCACACGCCTTTCTGAGGGACAGATATCTACCACACAACAAACCCTGGGCTCTCAAGCCTTGCAAAAGTGCTGGACAGGCCTTGGAACCTCTCTGTGAGTTGGAAGGATTTCTTACATAAGGCTGATGACTTTGGCAGAGGGAGCCCCCAGACTTTTCCAGGCACTGATGTGTCACTGCTGACTGTAATTTCTCTAAATCTATTCCTTAAAATAGTCTGCTGTACAGAATGGTGGGGAGTGGCTGGTTCCACTGAGCATCAGGAGAAAAACTGAGCATCAAAATGTGGCATTGTCTTTCCTTATCCAAATCACAGGTGTGTTTTACAATAATGGCAGCAAGTCACAGCCTGAAAACCATGACTTCTGTAGTACTTTCCTTCTCTGCAGCCATATTGCTTTACAAATACAATGAATTCTATTTTAACTTTTTAATTGTTATTTAAAAATAACAATTGGATTTGCCTCGTGGCTCTATGATTTCATCTTCATTAGGATGACTTAACTGCAGCTGAAATATTTTTCCTTGCCACTATTTATCTTGATTTGCCTTAACAACAGTAATAAAATGTTGGTAAGTTTAATGCTTCACATCTTCACAATGAAGCAGAATCAATGACTGCTCTGAGAACTATGTACTGAGGATTGCTTACAGATGACAAATGGGTTTTTTGCTGGTCAAATGGAACTGAACAGGTTTGAGCTGATTTACATTTTAGTAATTCAGAACTGGTTTGTAGCTGAGGCTGTTTGGGGTGGGGAGACATGCTAGGAAGATGGCTCAGCCTTGGTTTAATTGTTGGGCATACAAGTACCTATAGGTGATACCTCTGGGGTTGTTAACTGAATATTCCCTGCTCAAGTCCAGTTTTGGGTTAAAGTTACAAAGATATTACTCATGGCTTTGCTATCCCCACATCACTGACTCCAGATAGGAGCACAACAAGGAGATGCTTTGTACCAAGGCTGAGGATCCCTTTGCCAGCTCAATGCCAGCAGCAGAAAAAGACGCAGCTGTTGGGTACCTACCCATGAGGACAAACCTTCCCACTGCTGCCCCATTTCCAGAGCTCTTGGATAACAAAGAACAAAACCCTTGCACTTTAATCCACGCAGTACAGAGCACTGCAGGACTTGAAAAGGGTTGCCAGCACCTAGGGTCCTTCTGGGCATGTTCACTGTGCAGTTTGTGGTGATCTCCCTGTCTGTGCACATTGCTGTGTTATCATCTATGTGAGGTCACCTTGGCAGTGACTTGGAGCCCTCCATAAGGATTATCACCTAGTGCTCCTGCAGATGCCAGAGCCACATCACCTGTAGCAGGATGACAATATCATGTGGGGCTCTCTGCACGTTGGGGGTGGCTTGCTGACATCTGAAGGATCAAACGAAATGACCCATGCAGAGCAGCGGGGGTGAGGTCCTGGCTGATGCTAAGAGGATCAGACTGTGTGAAATAAGCTTTGGTCCACTGGTTTCCAGCATAGAAAGTTCTGTTCTTGGCATGTGTCAGTAAATTCTCATCAGTCAATGTAGTTTTATAAATGGAGGAAGCTCCTGAAACCATTCAAAAGTGAGGCAGGAATTGCAGCTACTCTCTTTGTATGATTGCAGGTACCTGTAATTTAAAGGAAATATTGATTAGGTTTTAATCACACTCCATAGAAACACAGGGAATTACAGTTAGGGTTAGGGTTTAGGGTTAGATAATAATGGTTGTGTGGTTATAGTGGCCCAATGTGCTCTGCTTTTTGTGCTTTGGGAGTTTGGGTATAATTCCAAGATAATACAATACAATCTAACACTACTTCCCACATTATTTCATTTACCTGTATGTGCAGCAGTTGAACTGGGATTGATATGCAGTAAGGGTGAAAAAATAACCTGCTCTGATGGTAATTCACCTCAATCACAGAACCATAGAATCACAGAATGATTCACTTCCATTCCAGTGTGTCATTTGACAGGCCAGCATATTTGTATCATGTTTATTGCATATATCAGTTTATTGCAACAATAAGAGAATTGCCCAGCCTTAACCTAATGCTATGGAGCTGAGAGTCTCCACTACAGTGAAAAAGTCACCTTAAAGTACTCAATATAAAGCATGTTGATGAATTCATTAGGCTGTTCCACTTTACACTGGCAAGGCAATTTTAACTTGTTAATTTTCTCCTTCTTTGTCCCCCTTTATCTTCAGGCAAACAGTCTGACAGGAAATACTTTTCCTACTATCGAGTGCTTGTGGCCATTTGGATTATTTTTGGCCTTGCCTGGATTGCTCTGCTGTTTAATTTATTGACAACAGTATTAGAAGATACTGAAAAAATAATTGTCAAGGATCTCCAGCAAATTGGAAAGGTGAGTAAGGACAGTGTGGGAAGCCAGCAAAGAAGATGCTGGCCTGTTCAATTTATTCCAGAAGAAGAACTGCTACCACCACGTGCTGGAGGGGATGCACAGAAAATGGAGTCATTAACAGCAGATTCTGAACACACAAAAAATGAAAAAAAAGTGTTTTCTAATAGCAATACTATTGCCTTAACGTGTTGAGAATTGAATTCATCATTGAACAATTGCTAGTTAATTATTCTAAAGAAATTCCCATAGAAATAAAATTTCTCCTACCTTTTGCTGAGATAAGATCTTTTAGAACTTAAGACTTACAGTTACACAAAGCCTGAATATTAATGGTAAGAAATTTGCTCCTCAGTTTGCAGCTGGGTTGTGCTAACAACCTGAGAAGTGCACTTGCTTTGCAAGGTGTTCTTAAGGTGCTTTCACAAAAAATGCAGAGGAGGGGCATGGAAGAGCTTGCTGGTTCTGTTCGGATTTTGCAGCTTGCAAGAAATCACGTCTCTTCCAGGAACTGACATGCACAAGCTTTTTTGGGGCATTGCACAGCACTTCTGGAAAAAGAAATGAGGGTATATAACTTAATAGATGCCTGACTTGAGCCATCATATTGGATAAGGTGTTATGATCTCAAAGACATGTTTAAATGACAAGAACTGAGCTCAGTTCAGAGACACTAGAAGCATCTAATGGACAGGGTTATGAAAAGGTTAGCATGTTAGAAGTGATTGATTCTACCTCTTCCTGGTTTATACTAAGATGAATAAAGGCAATTCCAGCTTTTATCCCTGTATCTCTGAAAAACCTTTCTGATGGTGTTTCTAAAAAACACACAAACCCATGTCTTTAATTCAGTTTTTACAATCACTTTATTCTCTAAGTTTTTCATAAGAACAGAGAACAATTTGAAGGGAGGAGTCCTTGCTGCTGTGTTTTGATACCTTAGGAACTATGAAGCCATTTAGCAATGATTCTATTGTGCTGCTGCTTTCCAAGGTGAGTGGTGTCTGAACCTTCAACCAGGTAAAAAAAATGGATCTCAGATCTTGCCATGGTTTTTCAGACATGCTGTCTGACCTGCAGACCACCTCTGGGTGAAGACTCTGACCTTACTAGGGTTGATCTATGTCTGCCACACCCCAGCACAGGGGGCCAGCCCCTCTGGCAGCAGCCCATGCAGGATGTGGGGTCTCTGTACATCAAAGTCCCTGAACTTGCCCAAAGGCTGAACTCACAACAGCACCCACAGGACCCCCCAGGGCAGTCCACAGCTTTAGTACACCGAGTCACACGCTCTGACAGTGCTGAACCTGTCACTTGACAGCTTATTGTGACCCCTTCCAGCTCCTGTTTTGTCAGACTGAACAATTATTCTTTTCTCACCCTCTGGGTGTTATTTACAGCATGACCAGCCCATGCCAGAGTTATTCCTGTATGAAAGGGAGAATAAATTACATCTATAAAGCAATTTCAGGTCGTAAAGATGCAGTCAGCCTTAAAGTTGGATTCATAACTATCTCAGTCAAACAGAACCATGCTTCTTGCCAAAGACATTCTGCTGGTTCAAGACCTGGCATGTAGACCTGTCCAAATATGTACTTTCTTTCCCTCCACAAATTATTTTCCAGTGTTACTCTCAAGGCTGACTTCTCACCTCATATGTCTCACTGTCAGTAAATGTTTCTGAGGCAGCAGGAACAGGACCTGACTGAAATCAAGGAAGGGTAGCAGGGGTATCATAGGACACAGAGGTCCTTGTACAAGCCAGAGTCCTATTGCTGTCACAAGACAACACCAGAGCCAGGCAGAGAAAGAAGCTGGATGCTTCCAGGCAGGGATCTCTTCACCTCTCTGTTTTCCACTCTCACCGAGCATTAACCCACATTATTGTTTTCCAGGCATCATTCTATTCTCTTCTTTTTTTTTTTTCCTTTTTCCCAGCCCTTCCTAGAAGGGTTATTGACCCCACTCCTAATGGAGGGTTTCTTCAACTTCTTCCCACTACTCCCTGTTGTGCTAAGTAACACAGCTCAGCCCTGGAACTAGCTGCTGATGTCCCATTGTAACACAGAGTAACCAAAGATGCTTTTTTTAGACATTCCAGGAAGGGCAAGAGGGACATCCCATGGACTCTGTAAACAGCAAGCACAGAGCTGGCCAGTGGCTCTTGGAGCAAAATAGGACAAATTCTCATTCCTTTGCCCTGGTGGGAGTTTAACAATGAGCCTTGAAACCCAACCACTTCCCATTTCCAGGAGTCCATCTGTCCTGTGTAGTTATTGCCACAGGATGCATTTTAACTCATTCCTCCTGCCGTGCTCCAGGGTAAGAATGTGGCACAGAGGGACTGAAAAAAGGCAGAGGATCTGGGAAAGATCGGCCAGGAATGGCCATTGTGGGGCTGTCCATCCTCAGGCACCAAGAACTGAGGTGTCCCTTCAGCTGTAGATGCCAGTCTGGGAACACAGAAACCACACCCACAAGGATTAAAAAAATACAAAAATAAAACCCTTCAGGGGCCACTCAGCTGTTCTGAGAGAGAAGGCTGCCCATTCATAAATCCTTACTCCTGCAGAGGCCTTTTGGAGAAGGGTCATAGCTTTGCTCCTTGTGCCCTCCAGTGGCTGTGTGCTGCAGACCCTTTCCCTTCACATCCCTGCCAGGGCTGGGTAGCTGTTCTCCCCCTCCCACCGAGCAGCTCTGTTTTGTGTGTGGGAACCAGAGGACACCGCCCTGGATTTTTATCCAATTCACACGAGCTAAAAAATGCCTCATTCTCCAGCAAGAGATGGGGATGAGCACCCCAGACTGGTCCAGTCGTGGTCCCTGCCTCCTGCCCATGCTGAGACAGCTCTGTGGAGGCCAGCTGAGGATGTGATGGCTTTCTGTCAGCAAAACATCTCCAGATGGAGCCTCACTGGTGGCACACACGATGGCACTCCCATCAGGTGCCCCATGCAAAGCTTCCCCTGCACAAAATCCATTTCAGAGTCGAAACACACATTCCCACCCCCTGTCCCACTGGGAAAGGGATTGGTCTGGGGAAAAAATATGCAAAAAGGCAAGTTTGGGTGCAGGATCTGGGGCCTGGAGGGCAGGCAGTGCCTCATGCAGCACCAGGGGTGGAGATAGGAGCTGCAGATATGTGGAAGGAAGAGCCAGCACTAAAGGGTGTGTGGTCCTCTCTGCTGGGGAAGGCAAGCCTGGGAAAGCTGCAAGCCAGGGTGGGAGAAGAACTTTTTTGGATGTGATATTGTTCCTCATTCTTAAACTGAACGATAAATCTGTCTCCAGAGGGTTTAGGCACAGCAACAAATCTCTCCAGGGCTGGAGAAGGCAGCCTTTTCCAGCATTATCATCCTCAGAGCATCGCACAACAGCAACAGAAATTGTCCTCACTTCACCCCTGGAAGGGGGAATTGTTGATTCCTGTGCAGGTAATAGGGCCCCAGAGAAAATTCAGTGTATCCCAAACTCATGCATCAGACCTCTGGCTCTCTCAGCCAGGACCAGGTGTCCTGGTATTGCTTACTGATAAACTAAAACCAGACAATGGTTCTGTAGTTGTTGAAGTTAAAAAAAAATAGGCTTGAATTGAGAGCCGCATTAGAGCAGAGATTCTACTCCACATCTGGAGATTTAAAATAATCCCAAGATTTTTAATTCATGAGTACAAGCCAGGCTTTGCTCTTCTTCTGCACGTTCTTCTTCCCCAAGGGACAGAAAGCAGGAATAAATCCATTCCAAAATCCCTGTTCTGCCAAGTGACAGAGTGACAGAAATCCTCTGGAGACCAAGCAGAAAGGTTCTCCACTGGCAGATCTGTACAGCCTGCAGCTTTTTCTGGGAGTTGCTCAAAGCCCTCCCTGTGACCCATTCCCACTGTGCCACACAGGGGAATCCAATTTTCACAGAGCAGCCTCCTGTGCAACTGCCAGCTCCCCCACTGCAGCTTGTTTTCAAACGGGAAACATTTCCAAGGCAAGCCAAATACTTTGCAATACATTAAACCAGCTGCTGAAAAACTCCAGGAGTAGGATTGTGAAATATATTATCTGGGATTAAATGGCAGCAGCATGTTCCTGCATCCAGTCTGTGCTGCTCCTCATACATCACCCACATCTTTGCTGCCAGCTAGGAAACAGTGCGCACTTCTGCACTTGAAACCAAGGAAAGGCCATGAGGAATTATTTTTCCCCTCAGAAATGCATTTGCCTCCAGAGAGAACAGGAGAAACTACACTTTGATCTGTCTTTAATTAGTATATGGGCTGTTAGGGATCCTTTGAGGTCTCCCTCAATTAATAGCCGGTTCATTTGGAGAGATTATTGTTTTTCTGGAAGCACAGGTACTACTCAAAGCAGCAGAACACCTTGGCTAATGCAACATCACACAGCCAGTGGCATATTTTTCTTTACAGCAATTGCTAAGCATGGGCCACACACACGCTGTTTTCCACTCTGTCACACTTGGACTTGTGCTTTCTTGCCTGACTCGTGACCAGAAGGCTGGATCCAGCTCAGAACTGGTTTAACAAACATAACTAATCACTCTACAAAGGCTTGTTTGTAATCCATCCCTCATGATCACACCCAAAGAAACAAAAGCCCCAGGTTTTGGTGCCAGCCAAATCCCTTGTACCATTCTAGAGGATTCAAAGTGGCGTTGAATATAGATTATAAACCAGATCTCACGCTGTGAGGAAAGGGGATCCTCTGGGATCCCTCACATGAATGTCTGAGGACCAGCCTAGGGCAACACTGACTTTATTACATTACTAATAAAGTCAATATTTAGCCATTCTGGGGCTAAAAAGTGGGGAGGAAGCAAAAATGCTGCCTCCAGAGAGCCTTGTCCATGCTCTTGCATCCCTACAGCCAGTCTCACCTCCAGCCCAGAACAGGAACTAAAATCTGCTTGGAAAATTCAGCATTTGCTATCACAAGTGGTTCTGGACTCAATTAGGATAATTCTTAACCATGGGTTTGGAAAGGCTCATTATGCTGAGTTAAAATTAGGGCAATTATTGAATCCATTTGATTACCGGTTTGACATGATTTAGGAGACATGTCTCCTGAGTAAACACTTTCCAAATTTCACTTTCAATTACTCTTCCATTTGTGGTTGGAAACTACATATGTACTTTGTGGTGAGATGCTGAAGCATGAAATAATACATCCCCAGAAAGAGAGATACCCTGATAAGCAGAACAATAATAATAACAATCACGAGTCATTGAAAAATGGAGGTACAATCTACAATTTAAGTTGATGGCTTTCTTGAGAAGGATTAGCCAGAAAGATGCTGATGTTCTCAAAGAACAAATGTGGTTTGAGGTGAATCCAGCTTCTTAAAAGTAAAAGATGACTGTTCATCTTCTGGCATGGAGAAAACCATGCATCAAGAGCAGAAAAGAGCATGAGCCAGAATTTGTACTGAAAGTCCCACAGAGTTCACAGTTCTGTTCATTTAAATGACTCATTGGATGTTTGAAAAGCAAGGTTAAGGTCTTAAATTGAAAATGGCTTTGGAGATTTACTGGAAAACAAGAAGGAAACCTAAGGAGGTTTCATCTGTCTAGTCTCAGCTTCAAAAGTCCAGGCATTAATCTCAAAATAAAATACGCACTGCCTGAGAATTACAAAGATGCAAGAAGCCCAGTATGGGCACCTCCCAGTTCCTGGACACCAATTCTCCCTATCCAAGCAGTCTGCCTCTTCACAAAGCCTGCAGGAGCTATTCAGCATCTCTGTTATGCAAGTCTGGCACAAATCAATGCTGGGGCTGGGGCCT